TGGGGGCTGAGGGTTGGATAGGATGCAAAGTGCAGACTGACCATAAGGGCCCTGCTCCTGTGGAGTCAGTTTCCCTTTACACGATGTTATCTCCTCAGAGGCCTATTTCGATGTGAGTGGTTCTAAGGAACCAACCTCTTTTTATTCTACCTGTGAACACTGAAAGTCTAAAACTTTTTTGAAACAGAAAAATATGGAGATTTAATTTAATTTAATTTAATTTAGAACTTGGGACACTAAGCCACAAATGGAGAGCTATAAAGTGACATGTCTAGCTGTCACATGACAAGCAATAGAACAAAAAAAAAGTCGATTCCCAGAAGGATAATTATCCTTGTCTTGGAGGGAGGCTTCTAGTGGTAGGACCTGTTGTAGTTTACAGAGAGGAAAGATTGTGAAATGTTTTTTTGGGTTTCACATTATTATATTTCTGTTAAGAACCTTCACACTGACCTAGAAGAAGGACTGAAAGCACTATGGAAGGCATGATAATCCAGGTCCTCTGTTACCCAGACCTATTAATTAGCTTACTAGTCATGCAACTTGAGCAGAAACCAGTCTGTGCCCAAGAAGCCAGCTACCTGCAGGTCCTTGGCCGAGTTACTTTATCTCTCCAGGCTTCAGGTTCCTCATTTTTATCAGTAACATTAGGCATTAACTAGCCCTAAGGATTTCTGTGCAGTCCTCTGAAAACCTAACAGCAAGAAAAAAAAGGTTTTGAATATGTCAGATTTAAATACATTTTAGAGGAAGATAATTTTATGGTTCAGAGAAGGCTCCCAATTTTCCCTAGAAAAGCAAAATAAGATCTTGTGTTTATAAATAGAATCACAATTTTAAAAAATATTCTGAAGATCAGGGGAGAAATACAATGCCAAGTTTGTCCCTGTTAGAGATATGTGTACCAAAGGAAACACTGTACTTTGTTCAGGGATATGTGCTCATGCAAATGTGATCTTTGGAACCCAGAAAATGTCACCATTTTACTTTGAGCATTTCAATATTTGGGGACATTGAGAGACAATCTCATTTCCTGTCTATTGCAATAATGTTGCCATGGACTTTATCTAAACAGTTGCTGAAGCTGTAGGATATCCAGTTGCTGGTGGCCACATGTCTAAGTGGAAAGATGACCCAAGATGAGGAACACTGGACAGCCCTTTCACAAACTCCTACAGAAAGGGAAATATGGGGGCAAAAGAGAGAACTTCCTGAAGAAGAGAATGAGGGATTCGTTAGAAAGTCAAGGTAAATTTGACACTTAGCTCCGTGTAAACTGATTTGGGAATTTTTGAGAAGAAAGAAATCAGCATTTTGTTCTTTTGGGCAGAACATTAAGGGGGTTTTGCACTGAGAAGAAGTCTTTGTGTAAAGTGCCGAGGAACTATTGTGATGTTCTATCTGGAAGGCGGTCACTCACGTGTTTTCATTTGATCTATTGCCGGTGCAATGTGAGCTTTCTTGGTGTAAAGAGTTCTTCGTGCTTTCTCGAGTTTTGCATTTAAAGTTTAGTACATTCCAGTTACACAGAAAGCATATATTTACCATGCATTGCCTTTTAAGAGGCTCAAATGTAGAATGCCAAGTTCATGCCAAGAAAGGTTGTCACAGATATGTGATATTACATACGGTCCTTACGTTCCTGTATTGTTTACTCCATGAAACCCCATCTCTATTCTTAAGCCCCAATAAAAAGAAAACTGATAACTCTCCAACCCTGTTGAGAAAGACTCTAAATGAGAAAAATGCTTCATTGGGAAGCCAAATAATATCTTCCGAAATTTGATTTAGCGAGTTAGTGAAATCTTTAAAGCCTTGGAAATAGTATCAGGATTCCAAAATATTTTTGTCTGTCTAAATAAAAGTAAAATAAGAGTCTTAACTATGTAGTAACTCTTTGAGATTAAACAGATATTTCTTTCAAATTGACCAAAGGTATTCTAAAAATTCTTTTCAACTAATGCACTGCAACTTAAAATGCTGATATTGACGACTTTTATCCTAAAGTTGTTTCTTTTCCAGTGAAATGAAATGTTTTTGAACATTTGAAGCCTGATGAAAATCAGGAATCACTAGACAAAATCTCAGGAAGAATCTGGAATTTAGTCTACAGAGACCCAAGTGCAAGTCGGAAGTTAGGACCGTAGATGAGAGATGTATTGGGCATATAGCGATCTAAAACGGTCAATTTGGGACAAGGAAGACCACAAAGGCATCCCTGGATGAGACCCCCTCTCAGTCATGGCCATAATCGACTCTCTCTTGGAGGTCTTTCTCCCTTTCATCAAAACCCCCTTTGAAAAAGGACGCACACTCAAAAAAGAATGAAATCATGTCATCTGCAGCACCATGAATGGAACTAGAGGTCATTATGTTATCATATGTTCTCAATCATATGTGGGAGCAGAAAAAGTGGATTTCATGGATGTAGAGAGTAAAATGGTGGTTACCAGAGGCTGTGAGCGGAAGGGGAAGGAGGATGAAGAGAGGCTGGTTGATGGGTACGAACATACAGTTAGAGAGAAGGAACACATTCTAATGTTTGACAGAGGAGTAGGGAGGCTATAGGTAGCAACAATGTATTGTATTTTTCAAAACAGCTAAAAGAGAAGATTCGAAATGTACCCACCACATAGAAATGATTAATGATGGCTGCTCTAAATGCCCTGACTTAATCATTAAACATTCTATGCATGTAAAAAAACTTCACATGTACCCCATAAGTATGTACAAATATAATGTATCAAAAAATTTAAACATAAAGAAAAAGGGCACAGCTTGCCTTGTCCTACAACCTCTTCCTCACTGTCCCTGAAATGTTTTTACATTACAAGGTTTAAAAGTCCACCTTCCGTCGGGATCTCTCAACCCTGTCATTATGGATTTGGTGGCAGGATAAGTCTGTGCTGTGAGGGGCTGTCCTGTGTGTTGTAGGATGTTTAGCAGCATCCCTGGGCTCCACCCTGTCCAGCCAGCAGCATGCCCTCCCCCAACTGTGACCACCAAAAATGACTCCAGACATTGCCAAATGTCCCCCGGTGGGGAGGGAAGCTCAAAATCGCTCCTCCTTGAAGAGGAGAACCACTGTGTTAGATGCTAATGAAAATAACAAGTAATGGTTACAAATGCTCCTGTCCTCTTCTATCCTTCTGGGAGTGGGAGGCAACAGGTTATAGCCCGGAGGATGTTGTCTGGGATAGGAATGCCAAGCTTAGCTTTGTCCTTGCCAGTGACCTTGAGCTAATCTTTTTACCTCTTCAAGCCTCCATTGCCTTATCTTTGTAATAAAGATGTATCCTTTTATTAGACACTTAGCGAATGCCCATTTATATGCAATGGAATGAGACAGTCTCCTAAAGAAGTTGCTCACAGTTTAGAAGCAGATAGACATAAATAATAATTTCTCAAACAAATTATTTTTAAGCTTCTCATCCACTACATAAACAATAATTGAAAGAAAAAGTTTCAAGTTTACATTAGAGGTTTCCCACACCTTGGTGAGGAAGGAGACAAGTGTTGGAGCCTCAGGTGCAGATGGTGTGTACGTGTGCTGTCCATCCACACGCATGCTGCTGTCCCAGGGCAGGACCAGTGTTAATTTCCAGGGTTGGCACTGCCACCATCCTGTCTTGGATGAAACTGCTAAAGACACTGGCCCCTCCCCTCCCTTTCCTCCTGAGAGTGAAGTCATTCTAATTTCTCACTTTCTTAGCCTATTCCACATTTCTTAGTCCCACAAGGCTCTGTCTGGGGGGCTCCTCTGTTCACCCCTGTTCATGAACACAGAGTGAGTAATCAAGAGACCATGGCAGTCCTGCAGCTCTCTGATTGGCAACTTTAAAATGATCATTGATGTCTGAGGAAAGTCCCACATTTCAACACTCTCCTCTCTGTTTTGCCCAAACTAGGTTATTCCCTAACCAACAGAGACCAAAGGTTTACCCTGCAAGCATTCCAAAGTCCTGCTCCGACACCCTTTAGAATGCTCAATACCAAAAACCTGAGATAAAAGATTTTCATTGCAATCCATTATTTTCCCTTTTAGACATAAAACAACATCCACACAGAACAAAGACCAATCTCTTTATTTCATGCAATAGTAAAAACTGAAATCGTGTGTTTTTTAAATCATTTCATGGAATCTAGCCAGATTTTACAAAAGCCATTGAGTTCTGAAGTAAATTCTTAACTCCTTGGTTTCCTACTGTCTGGTTTGTGCATAGCCCAGATGTCATGGTTTTCCCACAGGCTCCTCCAGCTCTAAGCCTTTCCTACCACTTGGTGTGTCTTTGAGTATGGAAGGAGAAACTCAATGTCTTTTAGAAAACATCACTTTCTATTTTTCTACTTAAATTGCACAATATTATGTAAATGCCTAATTCTGTGTAAATGTTAGCGAAACTGAACCAGATCAAGAGAGGAGTGTGGTAATCACCGGCAAGTTGGGAATTGCATTGCAAAAGGATTTCTATCATCCATTCCAAAGCTACTTACTATTACCATGACTTTATAAGCCTGAACCTTATGAAATACGTTATACCTAGCAATGCTTCTTGAATTACTATCATAGCAACCATATCCACTGAGCCCCTAGGGTTAATGCCCTTTGCAAAGCAGATTCTTTACCCACCCTGAAGGCTGTGCCTCCTCTGCTCGCCCAGCCTGGAGCCTCATGGCCCTGCTGGGGTAGCAGAAGTAGGAGGCTGAAAGAAAAGGTGCCCTATTCTCCCAGGTTCAGATAACCTATCTCTTTGTTGTAATAGTGAGCGTTGACAGACAGAACAAAACCCAAGCTTGCTAGCTCTTCACCCCACGTTAAGCAGGTGGTAGGAGGTTTTAGTGACCAAGCAGGTGAGACACGGGGAAGAAGTGACATCTCTGAGATATGCTGAGTTCCAGAGGAAGCAGTAAGAGGAGAATGACCCCAGGCACTGTGCTAGAATCTGCAGTCACTTACTGGCAGTTCTGTGGCACAGCCTGAAGAAAACACTTGCTAATAATCATGCTCTTTTGCCACTTTATTTTGCAACAGTCGTGGAGATCTTCAGTTGGGATCTCCCATGCTTAGCCCCAGTTACTGGATGCTGAAAGCACGCCTGAGCAAGACATGTCCTCGGCAGCCTGTGTGCACTGTCTTTTTCATCCTTATGACAGGATGCGAGGTAGACACCACTCTCCGCGTGTTGCAGATGAGGACTCCAAGGCTCAGCATCTGACTTGAACCCAGGTTGAGAAAATAGTGCCACAAACTGGGCTCCTCCTCACAGAATAACCTCGTCACGCCAGCGACCTCATCAAACTGTCTCCATCACCGCCCTGTGTTTTCTCTAAAATCCAGTCCACGTACTCAGCGACTTTGGTGTAGACACCGGGTTTTTCTCTGCGGGCACAGCCTTCTCCCCAGCTGGTAATGCCCACCAAACGCCATATTCCGTTGTGTTTACAAACCAAGGGGCCGCCTGAATCTCCCTGTGTCACAGTGGAAAAAGGAAATGACAGTTATGACAGCTGTGATGCAAATAAGAGACTGCCTTTAAAATTCTGTAGTCGCGCTGCCCGATCACACACACACACTTTCTTAAAGTTCTTCAGGTATCTCGTGGGCCTCATGAGCTGTTGGATGTGGTGAAAATCATTTAACTCAGTTGCATTTTCTGTTTCTTCCCTCTTCTATCCTGAAGTAAATCCAGCGAAGAAATTTTGACATCATCATCCCAATGTCAAAGAAATCTAATGTTCTTATATTTTAGAACAATTATTGTATGTATACTTACCCCCTTAAATATACACATATATAGACTGTGACATATGTATCATAAATAATATAAATATATATTCCATTTGTTAAAGGTTATTTATAAAATTATCAGATGATTCGTCTCTGAATTTTTAAAAAATTAATAAAATATGCTATTGGAAAATATATTTTGAAAGTAGCCCATTGTGCATTTTTCATAATCAAACGCATTACCTTACAAGCATCTTTTCCCCCTTCTTTATAGCCAGCGCAGACCATCTCTTTGGTTATTTGATAATCTGTGTATCTTTTCTGGCATTCTTCATTTGTTACCAAAGGAATATTTGCCTTTTGCAGAGTATTTTGGATTTCACCTGTGACGTAACCAACATGTAACTTTAGTGGGAAGACATACAACAATATATGGTGACAAGACTTAAATCTTAAAGTGAATCAGAATGGTAAACTTTTCATAAGGGTCATATCTGTGAACAAAAATAGCACCGATTGAGAAAGTAGAGTTACAGAGAGAGCGCGAGAGAGAAGCCCGCACAACAGCGCCCTGCACTGTTCTCTTCTCTTCTGGTAGCATCAAGACAACCCAGCACTCTGGGCTGACCAGAGACTTTGTTTCGTATTTTCTGCCGTCCTCTCGTCTCAGAAATCCCTCCTTATATTTATCACCTACATCCAAAAGCCTGCACAGTCTTACCTTTCATTTTTTTTTATTTTATATATTCAAAATTATAATTTATAAATATATATCATTTCTGAAAAAAAAATCTCAACCTTCTGGCAACAGAAGAGTATTTTGTTCTTGGAGTAAATGCACGTGAGCGTTTTCCAGGAAGAGCAATTTATTTACAGATCATTTAAATTCCATCCGTGTCTTGGTTCCCCTTGGATATATGTTGGGAACTTTCTTTGCTTAGTTAAGGTTACTTGGAATTTCTTCCTGTCTCAAGTTACTAGTAAAAATATTACAAATTTGAATTAGCTGAATAAAGGACTCAATCAGGAAAGCGGGAGAGAGCTTGGCAAGCGAGCTCCTTTTGTAAAGAATGACACAAATAACATTCTCTACAGTGTCTATCAGGGACATAATTTTGTAAAGGAAGAATGATTTGTTTCCTGAAAAGTTCAAGGGCAATTGAAACACTCCAAGCATCCAATAAGCAGGGATTGTAAACATAAGGTCCCTAGAAAGAATTCACACGGCCCATAAACTTGGATAGGAAAAAAAAAATTGTTTTCAATAACCTCCACATGCAGCCTACCACTGTCTTCAATTATGAATGTAGCAACACAGCAGTGTTAGTGTTACCTATGTGGCTTTGCTATCAATGGAGATCACAGGTATTTTAATACCACATTATGGTTATGGCAGATAACTGTAAATATCATTTATGCTCACCACTATTTCAAAATTATGGCAGGTATTAGAACAAGTTACTATGTAGTAGGCTAATGAAGAAGTGTATATATTACTGTATCACTTTTTAAAAAGAATTTTGCAATTTAATGGATTTCCTTTGTAATCCTGTGCATTTTATTTAAGCATTTAAAAGCATTATCAGAGAAGTGGTTCATGGAGTTCATCAGAGAGCAGGAAGGGTGCATGGAAAAAAAGATTAAGAACTGACTATGCAGAGAGATGGCATGCCTGTCTCTGCCCCCGGCCATCAGCATTAGGAAAACACAGCATTGGACATGGAAACTCTGCTAATACTGAGGACCAGGTAGGCTTGAGTGGGCCCGTTGGCCCTATATGGGTCCAATCCCTTATGGGAAGCCAAGCAAATAATCTTTATGATGAAGTGAGATGCTTAAAAGATTCCCTTATACATTTTTTTCAGGCCCAGGCAAAAATACATTCTTCTCCAGAATCACTGAATAAATACTTAGGAATAAATAGATAGGAAAGATCATGAGTTTGGATGTAATTTTAGACAGAAGCTGATTGAACTGATCCACTCCATGTATGTTAACATTTAAGACTTGCTCTAGGAACAACAATTACAATGTCACGCTGTACCTTTTTCCTCTGAGAAGCCCCAGCCGGTCACCCAGCAGTTGGTATAAATTGTATTTATATCACCTTTGGAAGGTAGGCATATTGGCTTTTGGAATTCTGAAAGGTAATTTTTAAATTAGAATTTGGTTTAATAAAGTTGTGGATATTGTCTTTAAAAATACACCCATTTCTTTTCCTGTATTCTCTTTCCGCAGAGTAGCACCAAAGAATAATAGCACTTTTGCTTTCTGCTCGACTTCTAAGGTCAATGACTTGAGAACATTTTTCACCATCAGAGTCATTTTCACATGACATTTTTGATGTTAAAATTTTCTGCATTAAAAAAAAGGCAGAATCCAAATCCACTGTCAAAAACATTTAGAAGTTCTTGGGTCTTATTATACTATCTGTAATAGTCAGAGCAGAGTGTCTATACTGTTCCAGGCATTATTTTAAGTGCCTTAACATATTAACTTAATTATTGTAACAAACCTAGGAAGAAATTATCATCCTCATTTTTACAGATGATAAAATTAGAGGGGCAAAGAGGTAAAGTAACTTGCCTGAGGTCACGTAATTGTTAGTGGACACAGATTAGCTCCCTCGGGGGATTGAACCTCCAAAGTCAGCACCTCCAACCATGACGCTCCAGTCATCCCAGAGCTTTTTTCTGTGTCAGTCTCTATTCTACCCAAATTACCCCTGGAAATTGCTATCTGATCCACTTGCCCTTATATATCCCTACTCCTAAGCCCAAAGCAACGGCAATTCTGCTGTTCTGTCAAAGGAAGTCCCTTGCTTCCCTGGTGGCACAGACATCTCCTACGCCTATTATTTCAACAATGCATATGCAGTTGCATTCCTCCCAGAAATAACTAATTGAAATTTCTTGCCCCTTAAGTAGAAGAGATTTTATGCCAAGTTACACTGTCTTCACCTCTCTTGAAACCCTCACCTTTCCCTCAACTCCACTAACCAGCAAATAAAGGCAATGTCTGCAGATCTGCACTCCCATTCAAGCAGATGCGAAAGTTCAAACCAGTACAACCCGGTAGTACGGCTTCTCCTTGAATGTGCTACATACCGGTGTAATTCAAAGGAGCATGAAGTTTTATTAAGGCAATATCATAACCACCTTCTGAGCTTTTGTAGTTTTGGTGAACAATAATTTCTTTTATTAGTGAGACAGGTGTTTCCTTTGTAATGTCTGACAGACTTAAAATGCCACTATAAATGCGCCAAACATCGGGTAAGGGAAGCCTAGGAGAAAAAAGAAGTATCTATTAGACCAGAAAGGCTGGCCTTTGATGTTTCCCTTTTTCCTTTCGCTTTCCTTTTTAAAGAGAACCGGGAAGGAAATATGACATGGGACATATTTTTCCCTACCTAGTTTTTCTTCCTGGCAACTTGTCGTCACCAACAGCAGCATTACTGAATCTCTGAATGTTTAGTTTAAAACATTGAAAAACGCACCTTTACGTTAATGATATCATGTTTACTGCAAGTAAAAATACAAGAATGTTGCAGTCCCATTCTGAGAGAAACTGTGGTGGGGAGAGATGCTAGCAATTTGTCATGGGAAATTCAAGCCTGGGTCACCAAACCGGAACGCAGTTGCGTTCATCCAATTCAGAGCTATCAAGGTGAGACTGCTCTCACAAGCCTCTTGAATAGGGCAAATTCAGGGGACTTCAGTGGGGTTTAAAATATTATGTATTAAATATTATATATATTATATCTATATTTTGGACAGTATGAAAATTTAAATTAACTCTTTAAAAGATGAATATATACAAAATAAATCCGAAATTATGATCCAAAGCAAAGTCTTATTTTGCTTTAGAAATAAAACGATAAAAAATTTTTAGGAAATTTTTATCATCATCAAGCGAGTAGCGCAAGACATGATTGCACAAAATTCTGAGGAAATAACAGAGACGGCAGGTGCAGAGGGGCTTTCTTTCAACTAAATCACAGGGTTTCTGTGTCTATTTTCTCATAGAAACTCACAACACTGAGCCTTGAAGAATGAAAACTCTTGGTCCCAAATTGGGGTGCATTTAGTAAAAAGGAACCTGCTATTTTCCACCTTGATGCCTTTTCTTCCAGCCTAACAGCCGCTCCTTGGCAAGGCCACATGCAACAGAGCCCCTGTGCCAAATGACAATGTGGAGGAGATGTGTTCTGTCCAGCTGTGCCACCAAGTGCTGTATTTTGTTGGCAGTATGCTTAGTCCTGGTAGACAGCAACTAGGTGAGAATTTCACTATAACAAAAATACTTTTGTTTATTTTTGAGAGAGATCAAGTGTCTTTTAGTATCTCTTTTGCTTATTCATAGATGTTTTCCATCTTAATATTTCTTATTGAATGTAGTAATCATAGCTTATATTTTTGAGTAATTTTTACATTCCAGGTACAGTGCTAAGTATTTTAATCCTTCCAATAATCTTATACTACTTATACTACTTAATCTTATACTACTATTATTCATATTTCAGATAAAACAAAGCTCAGAGAGATTTACAAATTGCCCACGCCTTTCATAAGTGGCAGAGCTGTTGTTCAAGTCCTGGTCTGTCTAACTACAAAGCCTAAATGTCTTAAGACTTAAAAATCCTACCATGTGTACTATTTGCCCAATAAAACAGAAATATTATATCAGATTATATACATTGAAATATGTAGAGTAATAAACTATCACATTTTTGTTTTATTATTATTACTTACCACATTTGTGAATCAGAGAGCAAAAAGTATGATTTCTATGGGCCTGAAAAATAAGTCTTTGAAGAATGCATTAAATGAAAAAATTAGCCAGGCATGGTGGCACATGCCTGTAGTCCCAGCTACTTGGGAGGCTGAGGCAGGTAGCAGCGCAGAGGTGGGGCTTTGTTTTATATTCTCTTTTGGCAGGAGTGACATCCACTGATGGGTCAGATTGGTTAGCTTTCAGACCCTACCAGTTCTTAAATATTTTGAATACCATCGCTGCCTTGAAATACATTTTATTAAAAGAGAACGAATAACTCACCATTCATGAAGTCACGTGGTGATGGTGAAACTGATTATAGATTCTTTAAAACAAAAAATCAGAACAAGACTCTGGATAAGACGCATCCAACACTTACCCAATAAAGCAATGGGCAGCAGTCAGGACCCACTGCTGTCCGATGATGGACCCTCCACACATATGTCTCCGGGCTCCCAGCTGCACTTGCAGGCTCACCTGCCAGGGCCACTCTCCCCACGAAGAGTTCGTGCCTCCGACAATGCGTGCGTTTGTTTTTGTCGTGCAGACTAAGGAGAGAGTGTTGAAGCAAGCAGTTGGAATTAGAAGTAAATCAGAGTCCCTTCAGCCAAGGAAAACAAGACACATAATTCCATTCTATAAGACCAAGCAAGCTATCAGAACGACACAGATATCCCTTTACAGTTCCAGGAAAATGTGAGGTTTACTCACCAGAGCTGTCCCCAGCTTCACACAACCTCAAAGAATAACCAGATCTCCCTTGTGTCCCATATGTAATGCTAGTTGGAGAACCATCCAAAGATAATCTCAAGGAACATTTACACCTACATAAAATAAACAGTATAAAGAGTAAACCTTCACATAGGGCAAAAGGATATGAAATGATCTTGTCGACTCTTTGAAAGATAGAATTTCCCTTACTTTTCTCCCGTACAGTCTTCTGGGAGTAAGGAATAAGTAAAAAACTGACAGCGAATCATCTTCGTACAAGTCTCTTGGCAAACATTCACTCCATTCACGAAGGTCACTTTCAAGTCTTCCCCTCCAAAGTCAACTCCAGAGTAGATTTTGGAATGGCAGGGTTCTGTGCCAATTATAAACAAAGATGCACAATGGGAAAAGCAATAAACCACATTTACACAAGTTTTTCACATCTTGAGGATTGTTTCATCACTATTACTTGTTAGAAAATCATAAAATTTGACACATTTTATGTAATTGCATTATTAAATCACATTACCAGGTAAAGTTCTTTTGCAGGTTAAAAGGCTATATCCAGATATGGTGTTTTCTTGAGGAGTAGGGGAACTTGGTGTCCCGCTCCGAGAAGTCTTAAGGAAACAAACATTTCTATTTTTCAAAAAAAGTCAGAGAGAGAGAGAGAAAAAGAAAACTGCATTAAAGACATTAGGCACACTCTGGGAGGCCGAGGTGGGCGGATCGCTCAAGGTCAGGAGTTCGAGACCAGCCTGAGCAAGAGTGAGACCC